GACCAGCCCCAGGCGGGCCGGGAGCCGGCCCTGGCCCATGGTGGCGGGCTGGGAGCAACCCCGGCCCCGGCTCTGCTGGGTGTCCGCAGGCTCCCGGCTCCCTTAACCCGCCCGAGCCGTGATCTCACTTCCTGGCCGCCTGCAATTGGAGTTGCTGCGGCAGAGCGGCGCGCTGGGGTCACCGCCACACGCCGGCCATGGCCCCGCGCCCGCAGCAGACCCCGCCGGGCTCGGCCCCGCTCCCGAAAGGAGGCACCGGGCACCCCTCCCGTCTCTGTCCCGCACAGAACATGGACTCCGTCCTCTCTCCGGACCCTGCCAGCCCGCGCTGGGATGGGGGGCGAGCGGCTTTCTCTTCCAGCTGGGCTGGAGAGACACCCCAGGCAGCTCCCGGCTCTTAGGAAGAAGGGGTTGTTGGGCGTTGGAATGGGCTGCCCAGGGCAGGGGGGGAGTCCCCATCCCTGGAGGGGTTGAAGAGTCGGGGTGACCCAGCGCTGAGGGATCTGGTGGAGTTGGGAACCGTCAGTGTGAGGTTAAGTTGGACTGGGTGAGCTTCAAGGTCTTTTCCAACCGAGATGATTCTGGGCTGCTGCAGAACCGCAGGCCCCCTCCAGCCTCTGCACCTGCAACAAATGCTCGGGGAAGGCAAATCACCCAGTTTTTAAGTAGCCTAGTGGTCAGCTGAAGTTTTGCTGCCACAAATGCGAGAGGTGTTGGCAGTCGTTGTTCATCAGGGTCATTTCCAAGGGGACACAAAAGTATCAGGCACAAACAGGAGCAGAAGGCAGTGGACAAGCCAGAGCAGCGGCGCAGGCAGCTGTGCTGTGCAGTGTGTACTTGCTGCCTGCTGTGCTGGGAGTTCAGCTCTGCAACTAGATCAAAGCTCTAGGACAAATGGTTTTCTTGCTGGCTCTGGGACAGGCTTGCTGGGTGACACTGGGTGTGTGTCGTTCCTTGTCAATCCCAAGACTTGTTGCTGTTTACTTTTAGGTCAGTGCATCTTTATACACCATCCAAACACTAAGACAGGTAGGGTGGGCTCCACTCAAGCAGCCAGGAAAAAAAACCAAAACAACAAATTGGCACAAAATCGTGTACGTGAACTGGGGTACAACTTGTTACCACCCCAACCTCACCACCACCAACCGGTTTAGTCAACCTCCTGTTGGCTGTAAAGAGCCTCCTGCATGGGGAAGCAGCAAGTGAAGTCATTAGGGCGGGCTGCCCGTGCTTTGGCAGGAGATTCTAGGATCCCATGCAAAGGCTGGCTTTGATTTTGGAAATATGTACACACACACTCAGATGCGGGGGAGGAGATGAAAAGTCGATAAGCCCCATATAACTTGCAATTTTACTTTAAGCTGTGCCCACGGCTGGCATGCTGTAAGAGACTAACACCTCTATAAGTTGCAGAGCATCAGGACAAGCCCACCCACCACTTATCCTAACCGAGACAAGGCCAAGATGCTTTGGACATGGAAAGAATTTCAAGGCTATCTCACGTGCTCAGGAAAACTAAAATAAAAAGGCTACTAAATGCAATTCACCCACCTGGCAATTCACTGGTTCAGGTGGATGGGGAATGGGATCCAGCATTGCCAAAGCATGGAGTGGAGCCTACTACCATCTACAGGTGGCTATAAATACTACACATCGGCATTAAAGATACCGGTATTAACAAACACAGTTGCCCCTTCCACTTCAAAAATAGTGATAGCAAAACCTTAACACCAGTTGCAGTAACAGAACTAAAACCGTGCACATAAAAAAAAAATCAATTAAAATTCGAACTCATTGTATCCATTGCAAATTAAGCTGCTAGCAGCCTTTCTGAATACAAGTTGAAGCACCTGAATTGAAGCATTTATATATATTTATAAAAAAAAAATCGTAACATTCAAACTCTGCCTGGGGATGCTTTAGCTGAAGAGAGCTTATCAAAAGGGACAGACTTAATAAAAAAAGATGCTTCCATGTCCCAAAGCAAACCAGCAAATTCTGAAAGATAAAATGACTGACTACCCAACACCACACCAGCTCCACGGTACTATGGTGTAATTCCTAGGGTGTCAGCTTTGCTCAAGTGCAGCACATCACAAGAGCTAGAGGGGAAAATACAAATAGAATTATTTAGTAACCTGGCAACTATACCCTGTTCCACCTGGCTCTGAGGTTAACAAGGCACTGAAGGTTTGCAGGAGAGGGGTTCACCCCTCTCAAACAATACTCCTTGCAGGGCCTCAGGGAAGAAATTATCTCCAGGGACTAGATGGGAAGCTGCAGGAGACTGGAAGAGATCCTCAGACACTACACTGAGGAGAACTTGCTCACACCCGACTCAGGGAGGATGGAGCTTGGAAGAACAGCAGTCAATGCTTGCTGGGATTACATTTCCCCCCATTTAATTTTGCTTCCTCTGTTGAATCTCACTCCAGTAACTTCTAATCTTCAGTTGACAGTCTTGCAGGAAGAGGAAGCTGCAGGGATCTACACACCCCAGAGATGGCACTAGGATGCATGGCTTCTCACCTTGTGCAAAGCAGTCCTGGTGAGCAGCAACCACCTGGTTAAAAATCCATGATCTTGGATCAAGTCAGGTCTCACACTGTGGGTACCAGCTAAAAAGAAGGAAAAAGCAGCACCATGAAAATGTGCTTGTGTCTGGCTTACTCAGCACCCCTAACACAATTTGGTACAGGCAACACTTGCAATCCAGGATTTTGCACTCTAGGCTGTATCTGTTGGACAGGGAAATTCCATGCATCCAGCCTCTTATGTTTTTTCCTGTCTCTATTGGGCGATTCCTTCTGCAAATCCACAGATGAACTCTGACAGAAGGCAGGAGGAGAGTTTCTCTCCTGCAGCTCAGTATAACACAGATATGGATTAGATCACTCAATAACAGGAAGATCTAGAATAAAGGATATAAAGGGAGGCCTACCCTCTCCTTCCTTTAGTTTTTTTCCTCAAAAGTCCTGTCTCCAGTCTCTTAAAAATACTGAGGCTCCAAAAAGCAAAAACCAACAGAGCACCAGTCTCACACATGGGATATATGAACCAAGAACTTATTTTCATTTCTAATTTTTTAGAATCAGTAAACATTTGTAGGAAAAGAATTTGAAAGAAATTCAGGGAAAGTGCTAATTTTCAAAACCCTTTGATTTTTCATTGGCTCAAAGTTGTTTCTGCTCAGTCTTCTGTAAAATTATGTTCATCTGTAAAATTATGTTCATTACATAATCAGAAATGCTTTAAAATCTTCCAGTTATATGAATTCTCACCTCTTACTAAGGCCAACCGCTCCAAAATTACATAGCAGTAATACAACAAAGTGCTTGTAAAAACAGCTCTCAAAACTAGCTACTTCAGCCTTTCAAAACCTAAAAGCATCTGTAGTTTCTGCAAGTTGTTAAACTGCTTATACACAAGCAAGAAACCTGTCCTGCTCCCTGAGCAAACTGGCACCTCAAAAATAGAAATGGCGGGTATGAAAAATTTCATCATACAATGCTAGGAGACAAAAAAAACCCCAGAACATCCTCCCCCCTAAAACCCCCAAAATAAAACCTAAAAACAGTTCTTACAAAATTCAGCAATGCTGAAGTCCACAGTTTTAGCTGAGAAACTCTAGCTTAAAAGCAAGCAGGTGCCTTTGGTGGTTTCACACCACCCCGCTGATGCTGTAGGCCAGGTCAAAGCCCCTTCCCGCCTTTACAGAAGCAGCACAGTGCCTCGGTGGTTTTGTGATGTTCTGTCCCCACGAGCTGTACCGGGGCTGGCAGCAGCTCCTCAGCAGCACACAGCAGCTTCCAGACACTCAGACCTGCGAGCATCACCTCCTACCTCTGACAAACTCACTTTGGTGGGTTATTAAGAAACAAGCTCTGATGCTGGCAGATTAAATCCCTGCACTCCCCGGGTACAGATTTTGATGGCTGTTTACTTGCCCTGTCTTATAAAGGGGCTTCAATAAAAGCTTTGAAAAGCCAAGCATGAACACCTGCCCACTCAATATACACCTCTTGCCAACACTCAAGATACATCCCCTGCTCTGCGTAATGAAGCCAGCCAGGTGGCCTGGCAGATGCAGGGCCGTGGGATGCACTTTCAAAAGCTGTCTGAAGACCACTTAAAGCTAGGCATGTTCTTCTGCATAGCTTTGGGAGACTTCTTAAACACCTCCTTCCTTACCAACAAGGCTCCTGCAAACAACCTGCACGTTTGACCCCGTTCCTGGAAATACATGACTGGAATAGATGCCATTGATAACTATAGTGAAGGAATAACCATGAAACATCAGTAGCAAAACAAATTAAACATTCAGCCCACCACATGTTGGAACAAGAGAGAGAGACAGACACTTAAACAATCCATCAATGTTGCTTTATTAAAATCTTTATTCACACAATGTTGCTTTATGCAGAATCTGACCCTGGGGGATACAAGTAGAAAGTCATGATTGCATTCTGTTTTCTTATTAGCAACCTCCATTTGTGCAGCTGCTCCCTGGGGCAATCCTCTGACAGCTCCAAGAAGGCTGTCTGTTTCGAGCATCTTGCTCCAGCTGCCGCAGCAAATAAATTACCTTCTTAATAAATTAGTATTTTTCAGTTGAAGTTTGTTTGGCAAGACGCACTCCAGTTCATTAGCTGCTGGAAGAGGAGTCGACTTCAATGTCTCCTCCAGCCCGGCTGCTGACTTACGAAGGAGGAGATAAATAGCAGATGGCTGATGATGCTCTCTTTCTAATTAGTTCTTGATTTCTGTGCTTCAAGCACTCTGATATTACTAATATCCGCAACACAACCATTTTGTAACATCTGGAAGCCAGCAAATTACAGTGTGCGCAGTGAACAAGAATTAGAAGGTGTTATGAAAACCTCATCGACAGAGCATAGCACCTGCCTCACAAACGACGCTACTTTTCAGAGATTCAAGCAGACCCTGTTTGCATGTGGGTGCTGCTTCTTATTTCCTTTCCAATGGTTACAATTTAAAATTCCTCAGGTGTCTTTATTCAAGAAAAACAACAATCACTGCCAAAATGCCAGAGATTATCACAAGGCCAAAATCACATCTTCCTGATTTTGGGTGAGAGAGGAATTTATCCTTCTTTCTTGCTGCAGAACACCAACCTCCAGTGGTGACTACAGTGACCAGAAACATCAATATAACAAAAAAAAAACCAAACAAAAAAAAAAGCAAAAAGCACAGCTCTTTCTTGCTTCCTTCTACTGATGATGTCAGACTTGATGTCCTTTGTTCACAGGTAATCCAATACACTGCTTTAAATCTTTGATACTCATACCAGGGGAACACTTACCCCAGGTTCTATCTGATGGCATAAAGCTTCAGCTTAGAGCCCTGTGAACAAGCAATATGTAAGTCCTGAACACTAATTCATATTCATAAAGACTGAAATACTTTTTTTTTAATTCATTATTAAATCAAATGCAAATGATCAAGAGTGATCACACTGAAATCAAAACATCAAATTTTGGTAGATCCTTCCCAAAATATTAAGTGCTCATGATTAAGCTCAAAGAGAAGAACACACTTAAAAACACTCCAAGCCATTACCATGTGCTTCACCGTCTCCCCTTTGTATAAATCATCTTCAATTTCCTGGGAAACAGTTTAGGCAAAAATGCCTCAGTACCAAACCTATTCTGCTTTGGAACAAAGCCTTTCCTAACCACCTAACTGCTGGCTCACAGCGCTTCTTAAAAACGTCTTACTCAACCACGGAAACCTGACTGCCAGCCCCGCGACCGGCCAGCTCAGCGTACTCACTTCTGCCCTAAGGGAACCCACAAGGCACAAGCCACGCCAGGGGGTTCAACTCACTAAAGGACCATGGCTTCTAAAGCACGTGTTATGTTATCAAGTCCAGCAATAAATAGGCACTAGCTTAACACCGATGTCCTAAAAGCTGGCTGTGCATTACAGCCCTGACTAGTAACACCAATAACTCCAGATCCCATCCTGACTGTGGGGTGGGTCTGTGATGTGGCCAAGTCCAGAAGAGATCTAGAACAGCATAAAATTCAATTTCAGGTAAACAATTGCATTCTACTTTCAAGATACTCTGCTCATGCAATGACAAAAAGACTTCAACAAAATAAAACTGCATTTTAAAAATAAAACTCTCTTGCTAACACCTCTTTGATCAGGTATGGCAGCAGGAGCATGCAGGAAAGAGCTTTTTACCTGCCCACCACACTCTGCAGAGCTAGAAAGGTTCTGACAAATCAAGGAAAAGATCTTAAACTGACATTTTGCTGCTCCTGCTCACAAGTTCAATAATACATAAGCACTTTGGGAAGTGAGCTCTTTCCTTACTTCTAAGGACAATACTGTCTGAACTGGAAATCAATGCAAAGCTGTTAAATTTGGAAACATAATGATGAAGCTGCTTCCTTTCTGGAGACACAGATTCAGACCTACCACAAGCGTGACAAGTTTTATGGCCACAAGCTTATCCGCAGTGCAGGTTGACGCAGTGCTGAAGGATGACAGGACTAGCACAACGTGAGTGCTACAAGTCTGTCCTGAAAAGCCAACTTATACTAACTGTCCCCTATCTACGGCAAAACCATTAGGAGCAAGGACCCCAGGATGACCACCCCAGTCAGAACATCGCAGTGGGTGTTGCAGGAAGCAGATGGGGAAGGCAGAAAACTTACTGGGAGTGCTTACAGCTCAGCCACAAGCCAGGCCAGGTAAACAGTGGGACTGAAAAGCTGCTGATGTTCCACAAAACAGCAGCACTGAGCTGTGGTTACAGCATCGAGCAGCAGGAAGCTCTCTCCATGTGAAATGAAGATGACAGACCACAGCTCAGGGCTTGCTCCACTCCAGGGCTTTGCCCACAGCTGTTGGTAACTGGGAAGTCCAGTGATAAACGCCTCTCTTTCCCCAGTGCAGCACAGCCAGGTTCCCACATTAAACAGGGCACACAGTAAGCAGCATGAGCTCGCAAACCAGAACCTGATTCCAGGGACAGTCTGTCCTCCTCCTCAGCTACAATATAATAAAAATTCGGTTAATATGGACACAGGACTGCAAGGATATTTTCTGCACTCAGATCTTGCCAGATTCCTTGTAAACGGAAAACAGTGACAGGACACATGGAAACTTACTTTAATCCCTTAATTACCAAGTGCTGTATAACCACCCTGTCCTCCCCTAAATCTCCAACTCTGTGGATAAATCTTTGATAGGACTTCAGCAAAAACACTGAAGCATTATCACATATGAGGCAAAACCCTTTCTCAGCCTTTTATCGAGGAAAAGACAACCGAGCAGCAGAGGTCCCCTCTCCCACCCCTAATGGCATTCAGAAGAACATCCCACCCCCGGGGGGGTGGCACAATTCTTCAGTCTAATAATTATTTTATTCACCACTTCCTCTTTCTCTAAAGAAGCAGTAAAATGCCTAACCAGCTCACAGCTGATTATGTACAACCCTGAATCAGACAAAAACTCGCAAGAGTATATGTGGGGAAGAGAAGGGGAGAGGATCATACTGTTCATCTCCATTTGTCCCCTCTAGATTCAGTCCACAAAATTTAGCGTCTGTATTCCACACACTTCCAACAACACCAAGAGCCATTTTTATCCAGTGCAATGTCCACTGCCGGCAATGGACACACCACAACGGCCAAGATGCCATTACGGGTACTGAGCCGTCCTAGGCTCCAACTTCCCACCTCTCACTGCTGTCAGCCCAAGGTAAAAGCCAGTGTCACCTCTGCTCTTCTGGCTTGAAAGCTTTCCTGTTCATTTCAGTCCATCTTGGCCACAGCCATTCCGAACTGATTGTGCTGTTTTTCTATCACTTGTTTGTTTGTTTTTAAAAAAGGAGTTTCACCTGTGTTCCACTACAATTACAAATGAGACAGAGTCATCCTGTCTTCCACCAGCACAACATCTGGCCCAAACTGGTCTGTGCATTGCTTCACTGTAGCCAGGATGCTGAGAAGCCGCTGGTCTAGGGCATCCAGATGAGGGTCAGAAAGCACTGGTGAGATGGGGTCATGCGACATTGCAGTTTTTAAGGCAGACTTCAGAACTCCATTCTTCAGGTAACTGAGTCTGTTCCAGGTAGAAACCCGGATGCTGCAAAAGAAACAAACACATCACCATACCACTGTCCAGCTCAAGTCCCACCAGCAATACCAAAGCCAACCTCGTGAGGGAGCCTGTTATCTCAAAAACGACATCTTAGTACAAAAGTGGTGCGGGGATGGGAGGGTCCAGGTGTAACTGCATTATATGCAGTATAATCGAATGTGATCTAATTCTTATATTATACAGCAACACTTTCAACTGCTAGCAAGGAAGTTCTTTGGTCCTGAGGCCTCCTGGACACAGTTTGAAAAGGAAAGAAAATTAACAGTCTGGCTGTTAATTCAAACACAAAACTCATGTCGCCTCAGGAAGAGCACCACTGACCAACAAACTAATCACAAAGGACAAAAGTCAATTGACTGAACTTCCAAGAAAGGGAACACAGCGGTGATCTTTCTGCTTCACTGGCCATTGAATTTATTCATGTCAGCCCATCTAAACTGTCTTGTTCTGTGAAGTCTCTTGGAATTCTCCCCTAAACTGTTGTGTTTTAGTACCACTGGTCTAAACTCTTGGCTTCTGATGGCCTCTAAAGAAACCAGCAATATAAGCAAGTGTAACAAACCTGTAGTTAGAACAATAACACATCTGAATTCTTATACAGCATTTGCCTGGTATCAGAAAGAAAGGGTGTTTGAAAAGCAGGGAACTTCGAAGTCTCTTACATACATAAACTTCTCTTCTGGTTGCATTTGGGAGAATCTAGATGGGAAAGACTCCAAGAGATCCTCATAAAGCAGGAAATCAAAAACGCATTTAAAATTAATGTAGGAAAGCTAAAGAATTTGAAAGTAATTTCCTTTACTTGCTCTCCATCTGGATTCTGCAAGAATCTTGCAGAATGTAGGCCAGGTGTAGTGTAGTGTAGCATGCATAGAGTCTTGCTTAGCGCGAGCACGGGGTGAGAGCTCGGGCTTTCTGCAGAGTTCCCAGGTTTCACAGGCCCCACGGAATTCAGGAGACAGAACCTCCAAGGACAGGCACAAGGAGCAATCAACTAAATGCTTAATTTGGAGGGCTTAAAGGAGTTAATGTTATCTTGAAGTAACAGATACAGGAAACAAATGTAACTATTTTTCTTCTTAGTATTTTTGTCTGTTAATGAGAAGTAAGCAATGCCCTGGTGAGAGAGCGACTACAGAAAACAGAAGTCAAGAAGTCATGGCCTCTAAAAATAAAATGAACAAAAGGACAGCTCCCAAGGGGAAAGTGGAAACAAAATCCTGCAAAAATCCACAAACTGCACTTTGAAAGAAGCACCCTGAGCAGTACCGCAGTCTTGTTTAGAAAGAACAGTTGGAAATGAAGGTAGTTAAGTTGCCAGACATGTTGAGTCCTTAGCTTCTGTCAGGGAGAACTCAAACTGTGATGTGAACTTTCATTCAGCAGGAGCTGGATGGAGACAGCTGCAGATGCAAAGTACCTGTCACACCGACTAAGGATATATTCGAACCAGCAACCTGGAGGCGAGACTACCTCCTATAGCCTACCGTCTGATTTACTACCTTAATAAAAACGTACTTCTCAGCTTCTTGAGCAGTGACAATACATCAAATATGCAGAGTACCTCAAAAAAGTAAAGCACTGTGTACTCGAGTGAACATTTTCAAGTTGCCAGAAGGCTTCAAACTTAATTATATTGCAAACCTAAGGACAGCAATTGCACAAGCAAAGCAAACAGCATCCTGCATTTCACTTACATGCAACACTGATAAAGAGGAGCCAAGATGCTTCTTTCATCCAGAGCAGGGTTTCCAAAGCTGAAAAGCAAAATTAAAACCAAGTGAACCATTTGAACTCGTAATGTTATTCTCAACATCAACAGATTTGTAAAGAATGCAAAAAAAATCAATACTAGGCAATTTCATGCTCCAACAGATCAAATAATTTAAATTAAAATATAAACAGGCCATGACCAATTACAGATATAAAACTCTCAACAGCATCAGCTAATGTACCAGGTAAATGGAAGTGACGCCAGCGTAGCTAGTTCTTTATCAGACCAAGGCACCTTAGAAATGAACTTCAAGAGGAGTTTAGAAATTGAGCTCATCTTGCGAAGCAGAGAAAAGGAATAATTGGTATTCTGGAAATAGAGAGCATGAGCTTTGCCTGTCTGATACAGCTAGAGAGGGAATGAATGAAATAGCAGCCATATTCTGTTTTAGATAGCCAAGCTTAGATCAACAGTTCAACTAACAAGGCAACCAGCTTTAAAATTTTATGACCACACTTTCTAAGAGAAGCCTGCCAAAAGGATTTCATAGTATTTCAAGCTTCATTTAAAGACATGTGTGTTGGGGTTTTTTTAATAGTTTCACCCTCTCATAATACTATTCTCAACTAAGAACTTTCCCTTCAATAAAGATAACTTACTGTAGGAGTCTGGCATTACTCTGCTCAGATGATTCTGTTATTTGTAGCTTAAAAACTGGAATAGGCTCCCCAGGAAAGTGGTCATGGCACTGAGAAGCATCTGGATGACGCTCTTAGTTATATGGTTTAGTTTTAAGTAGTCTTGCAAGGAGCAGGGAGTTGGGCTTGATGATCCTTATGGGTGTCTTCCAGCTTGAGATCTTCTATGAGTCTATGAAAAAACTTTCCCCCTACCCCTTATCTCAAAGGAGCTGAAAGAACTTTACTAAAGCTTTCAAGAAAACAATTTACTTCTGGACCTGTAAAGCCCCACTGGAAATGTTTTCATAACTTTATAAGCACGTACCATAATGAAAGGTCTGACACAACCTTCAACCACCATATTCACTTCCAGTGACTAATACATTAACTTCCTCCTAACACACTGCCAGAGTATTATAGAAAGACAGTTTTTGTCAAATTCATCTAAAGCATTCTGCAAGTGGCAATAATTAAGCAGTCCCAAGGTGGAACGCATCCTGCCGATGTAACCGATTGAATGTTACCAAACATGCTGATGCATAAAGACAAAATACTCAACTTGGCCACTGCAGACAAATTAGAAACAAAGGAATGAAGGAAGGTAGGCAGGCATATGGGGAAAGAAATGGTAACTCCAAGCCTCCCAAGGATCTGTCTAGCTCAGAGGTCTCAAGTGCTGTGTACTCTTCGTACAAGCAGTATGCAAAGCCACTGCAGAGCAGGGCCTGGCACAGCAACAACCAGAGGTAAGCAGCAGAAGTTGGTCCATCCATGGAAGGGGAAACTCACTGCCACTGCAGATGGTAGCACCGATCAAAAAAACACAACTTGGGAGTCTCTGGACTAAATAATGAGAAAGTGGAGTAGGTTATCTCTGTTTTTAAGACAAATTACACCAATTATTATGATTTAAACAAGGCTGTATCTTCAATAGCATTTTTAACTGAAACTCTACCAGCCACCATACAGAAACTATAGCAAAGATAGAACAACTCACGTTTTAAAAACATGCGTGTAGTAACGTTTGACTTCAAGAAGGACTTTTCATCAGTTCTTCTCAGTTACTACGTGCTTCATTTTTGTTTTGATAATAGTTAATGTCCACACTCAGGACATCATCATACTTTGCTCTCAGAATCAGTTCTATCTCCATTTTAAACTTTTAACCTTTTAAAGCCAGAGTAGACATATATCCAAAAGGTAGGGAATGCAGAATTATTCGGAGACACATACTGAAAAGATCTACTTTTACTATGGCACTCACTAATACTCACTGGTAAATAATAAATCATAAGTTTTTAATCTTCCATTAATCAAAGGCATAAAAGGGAGGGGCTTTTCTGGGGATAGGAGGAGAGACACAAGCAAACCTCTTGAAGTTGTTTGGGGAAAAAAGGTCATATTGTGCTAATTTAGGCATCTCTGTAGTTTGAATAAGACTGCCCAAAGCAGTTATAGTATCTAGAGCACAGAGTAAGCACCACAGCCTTTGAAGGACCCTAGTATTTGGTAATTTCTGTTGAGAAGGAAAGCTTTGGATTTTTAGTACAAAAGGTGTTAATAAAAAAATTAGTGGCAGAAAGAAAACAGAGAGATACAGATCAGATAAATGTGTGCCCTTGTGCTCACCACTGCCTGGCCACCAGGATTTCCCTTACCCTCACCTTTTGGCATTATCCAGGAGGATGAGCATACTGGCTCCTTCATCATCCTGGAAACTCTCATAGTGATGCCGGTCAGCATTCCCAATCAAATAGTCAAAGATGGCAGTGTCAATGATATCAAGAAGACGAGGGCCAGAGTCATACGGTGAAGTCTTCTTCACAGCATCACAGTAGCTTTCATCATACTCCCACCTGTGGGCCGTCAAGAGAAGCCAAATCAAATCTTCAAGGAAAGCACACCAACCATTACTGTACACAAACAGCATTTACAGTTGCCCCTTTATTTGCTTACAAGTGCATAAAGAAAAGGTGAGTGCAGCAGTCAAGGCTATATAAAGAAGAAAGACCCAGACAAAAGTGTTTTATTAAAAGAGTAAATCCTGTACTAACACCCTAGCATATGAAGCAAGCTGTAGTTTCAGTGCAAGGTTACACATCACCTTCTTACAGAAAACAAGGTCAGAGTTTGCCTCTTCACTGCCATTCAGCAGTGGTTTGGCTGCCCCAGGGCAAGACTACTGTCATGACTTGCCTACCTTGATTTCCTAACTAAGGACTTCAAGTACTGTGTCTATTTCTATTGCTTTCTATTGTCTTGCTTTCCAGCTATCATCTTCCTTTTTTCTTTCTAATGCAAATAGCCTCATCATGGTTACTGATGACGTCCTCTGTCCTGAGGAGAAGGACCGCATATTTGTTCATTCTCCTTCACTCAAAGTTGTCTCTTCCCTCTCTACGTTCCTTTCAGAATATCTCACCACCTTCTCCAGTGGCAAGACTCCCACAGATAACCTAGGCATGCACTTGTGGTCTTACAACACAGATGTCATGTCTCAATTCTCCAAAGCTAAGATTTTAAATTATCTCATTTTCTTCTTTACAGTTTTCAAAGCTATTCAACACCACCACCAAAACAGCCAAATCTCTGGTGTATATCCTTTCTGTCTGTCAACCTAAGTAACAAATACATCTATAACATCTTCCATGTAAAGACTGAAACAATCCTTCACAAAACAGCAGTTAAGTTGGAAATGCCTTAAACCATCTGTGACTTGGAAACAGAAATGGAGGAAACACAAACTGGAGAGAATCACTGACGTGCTCAAAACTCCAGAGTCATAAAAGCAGGAAGAAGATCAGAACTTAACTACTAGAACTGCCACATACCCCACCTCACTTTCTACAGTCTGGAGCCTAAGCTCCCAATATCCCATCTTTCCTTCAGTTATCCAAATTAGTGGCCAAAAATTTATCTTCTCAGCATTTTTGTTAACATGTCACACACTCCTCAAATGCTGTCTCTAGTTTCATCATTCTTGTGTATCAAGGTCCAACTTACATCCAACTTGCAGCACAAATCCACAAGGCACAAGTCTCAGAAGGTACTCCTCCTTGTACTGGATACACTTCTTTTATGCTACACCCCTTTCTCCCTCAAATGTTTCTCTCATTTTACTTCAGATCACTACTTAATCTCCTTGTAACAATTTTTCAGACATACTATGCTCCTCTCTCTTCTCATTTGCCATTCATTCTTTCAAGACAGACCTTTCTCTGACATTTATTTCTGATCATTTAGACTGTATTAGCACAGGACTTCAAAGGTCAGGGATTTTATCTATTACACGTCCATTAAAAATTATGTACACTAATGTGACTATATGAATTATGTTCAAAAGGTCAACTCAGGACAGTATAAGCAGCTAGATCAGGAAGAAAATTCTCACAGAGTTATTTTCCCATAATTACCCGACACAGAAAAAGAAGGGCATGACATCTAGAACATTTAATTCTCCTGATGCTTTCAAAGTGAAAAGCGCAACATGACAAGGTGCAAAACAACAGACCCATGTGATTAATCCCATCTGAAAGAGCCAAGAGCAAGTAAGTTTAAAATACAGCGAATATCAAAGCAGCATAGGCATAAGGGTAAGCAGGCAGTTTATGATGAACAGCAGTCTCTCAAAAAAAGAAACACTTCCAAAAAATTCAGTCCACTCATTACTGCAATTTACCATTACTACATACAGCTGAGTTTGACCTGTTGGAAAGGAGACAACATCTGTTGTTCAAAAATCAAACTGTACATTTAATACTCTAAAACAATTCAATGAAGTCTTTGGATGAGAATATGAGAACAATCATGTCATTGGAAATCAATGAATATTTTAGATCAAGCACTAAAAATCCATTTCTAATCACTTGTCCAGAACACAGACTTGGAAAAATTTACTAAGTTCAAATCCATTTGTTCTGGTCATGGCAAAAACATCTCCAACCCAAATACTCAGACATGTTACATCTATTGTACAAGACTGCTAGATCCCATGTTTCTTTCTCTAAAAGCATTCTTTAGAGGCTGAGTGTGGTCACCAAATACTGATGGTATTCAAAGCAAAGAAGAACTTTTCAATGCCTACCTACTTAAGCTAAACCAGCTCCACAACTCTTCAAACAAACTACAAGGACCATGACATCAGGTCTGGCAAAAAACAGCACAGCACTACTGTATTTTAGGGGGCCACAGAGAGGCACCATGTCAGAAGAAGGTCTAGTGGCACAAGAGAAGAGTCTCGGTTTGCCCAGAGGCACGATTTTTAGAGCACAGAGTGACTGCATGGTGGAGTTCTGTTCTAGACAAGAAGTAGGAAGAGGAAAGCACTTAGTATTGTGGAAAACAATTAAGATTTCTTTCTTGCTCATTTGATTTAAAATCTCATCCTAGACTTCTACTCTCATATAAAGAAAGCTGTTAGCAAAACTCTAGGTTTTGAGAACACTTGCTCCTTAATTAGCCACAGTATTGCAAGGGTAATTCTAGTACACATTACCACATATAAAGAATAACTCTATCATGTTCTCATACCTGGCAAGTTTGCCTTCACGGTAAGTCCTACCCCATGGGTGTCGATGCTTCTGAAGAGGCCAGACATCTGGTAGCCATAGAGTCACTGACCCCTCCATGATGTCCCCGTCTGCACAAGCTGGTTCTGTTTCCCGACAATAGTAGCACTTCCCATAGAAGCAAGTGTTATTACCTTAAAAAAAACCCCAAAAACCAAAAGAGGTATCAAAAGAGCAGAATTTAATCCAAGAGATGCAAATTGAAGGTCAGGAGCATATCGTTGCAGCAGAGACTTCCCTGCAATAGGATTTCACTGCACTTGACCTGATGCTTCCTATCTCTGAGAGGGAGAGGCTAAAAAGAGATTAAACAGACATCTATTGATTCAAAGCAACATTAAAGACTAATATTCAAAGGAGAGAGTAATTATATCTTCTAATGTTTTAATCACACTGGGAGTTAATACATTACATTATCAACAAGTTTTTGTGATTCCTTCCTAGTCCTTAGGACCTTGACTTTGCAACCTTAGCACTGCTTGTTTTTTATATTTCACACTTCATGTGTCAGATTTTCCCCTTTTTTGAAAAAGTTGACCAGAAATAGACAGTTGAAAAAAGACTAAGCAGAATTCAAATGGATTTGGAGTCCTGAGAGCTGCTACACTTCTCAGTTACTTGAGCTGATCAGCCAGGGAAACACAAACAAGCTGTCATTCTTACACAATCTAGGAATGCAGGTCTCTCAAAACTTTCATGAGTGTCTTCTGACATCAGTGGAACAATGAAACCCTGTAGTCTTCAGTCCGTTAAGGCCTATGTAGCCTGTAGCGTAAAGTAATCTATGTAGCCTAGATTAACACTTGTATCTTAAGCTTTTCTATTTCACCCTTCTAACCTGCCTTTGCTTGACTCTTGCCATGTTAATTCCAGTTCCATACTCACAGATATTTGAATAATATTTTGGAAGAACATGTCTCACTTCCTTGTGATTCTACTTATTCCCTGTCTTTTCTTCCTTTGACCCTACACCCAACATCCCCACAAACCAGCCCAACTCACTGAAAGACATGTTTTTCACTTTCCATCTTTACACATCACAATCCTTTAGCCAGCCAGCACTCCTTTGCAGTGCTCCATCCAGACCCGGCTCTTATGCTCTACTACCCCAGTCAGACAACTTGAAGACATTAGAGATGGTCATTAACAACACAAAGCTTGCAGCAGACCAAATCTCTTATTTGTCTGGAAAGCCCTACAAGTCTCTCTTCCTATCCGTGGCCTGTAGCAGGAGACAGAATTCTTTGAGATTCTAGCTCTAACTCTAGCAAATCTGCACTGAGTGAATGCATGAATTATCTGTTCTTCAAAACCTCATAAACTTAGTCAAATTTGGGTTGACAAGAGACAACAATCTTCTCCCTAGATCCAGCCATTTCTTTGGTTCATGCTCTACAGAAAAAGGTGGTTCCAAGAAATCTAAGGAAAGGCAACAAAAATTTCTGGAGCTATGCTTTTTAAGTCAGCATTTCTGCTAGAAAACTGCTTAGTCAACTGGGCTGAAATTAGAAAAAGTAAAGTCTGCCTGAGGCAGATACCTGATCCAAATGCAAAAAGGGTTTGGCAAGGCAGAGCTACTCTCACCCGAAAGTTACACTTTATAACTGAAAGTGTAAGGCAAATTTAGTAGGTGAGACTACCAACAGTGCTTGTAATAGAAATTACAGGTACACATATTTATCAGCTGTAATGAACAATCACCTCTAGAGTCTTATTAGGAAAAAAAAAAGGTAATAAATGCATATTTTATGAAAGCCTGAAGGAGTTAAGGCTGCAGCATAAGTCATTTCTTGGTGCCTAATGACCACCTGGTAGGAGTTCACATTAATAATTCCCATTAAGTGCCCTTCACAGCATTATTACTGTAAACAACATACGGAAGTTCTGACACATTTAGTTATGAATGCTCAGCAGACTCTGATGTAGCACAAACAACATCCAATACCAACTGACGCATCAGTTCTATAAATTATCCCAAATCACCACTGTGTTCGTATTGAAATACAATTAAATTTTTTTCCTTTCAGGTCTAATCATAGACTTTTCTAACCACCTCTGACAGCAGAGAGAAAATTCTTACTCACAAAATCCCCCATCTGTAACAGCAGCATGAGGGAACACAGAGAAGTTACAGAAGAAAAACTACTTGGAGAAAATCAAGTCCTCCTCCCCTGCCAAATGGGGCTATACAAGTGTTACAATCTCTCTTGGCACAGAAATAGACCCACCAGTTTCTTGTATCATAGGTAAATGTGTCAGATTCCCATGGCTCTTTTTCCCCATTAAAACAATTTTTCTTTACTAGGCTGCACATTCCATGGAATCTACTTACCCACAGTCATGAAAGTACCTAGAAGCTGCTCTGTGGCTACTGGTTTAATCTCTGTACGTAGGTTCACAAACCTGCCAACCACCAGTGGAGCTCGTCGGAAACCCAGAATTCTGATTTGGGGTGAAAAAACATGACATGAGAATTTGCAACATAGGCAGCAGTTCTAAATGAAGACAAAACAAACCACCCAGTCTATGTGTCATTGTCTGAAATTGAGATAGCTGAGACCAAAGAAATAAAGTTGGAACCCTGCAGCAACCTTCTCTCTTCTCCAAGGCAAAGTAAGGAAACTCATTTTTCTTAAGTGCCTGGATGTTAAACTTGCTTTATAGGCCATCAGCCACACTCCTTTGTTACAGCATTTACAGCAGAGCAACACAGGATGCACCATGCTCCAACTCTCAGAAAGTAGACCTCATACAATAGGTATCCATGGTCACCTGGAAAGATCATTTATAATTTGTGGGAATTACTATCTATTAAAATGTTATGTTTAAGCCAAATTCATTTATACTTGAAAGTAAACAATCTAGGAGTTATTTTGTTTGGCATGAGGGGAAGAAGGGAAAAGAGAATGGTAGAACAAAACTAAATTCCTGAAGTGTCTGGAAGAAAGGAGAGGTGGGATGAATAATCATAAAACTTGCAGTCACAAGATCCAGGCTCCACTCCCATGTCTGCTACAGTCTGTGACCACAAATACTTGGGTATTGTAATGGAATTTTTAAAGTGCTTAAAAGAGGAGTACAAACATCAATACAATGTCAGCCCCAACTCTCTTAATGTACTTTTGGTATCCTTTTCTTAGTCTTTGCATCTCAGAAAAGGAGACACAAAAGGGACTGTCCCTTCTGAAAAAGAGACAATCTACATTGCACAGAGAGATTGAGAAGAGTCACTCTAACAGCTGCGAAGTATTTTTTTAGATATTCAGCCCCCTTCTATAAGTATAATACATCTCTAAGAAAGGGCAACACAAAATGTCTGCCTGAACAAATCATGTATGCATAAAGACAAAATTCATAGCCAATACAGAGAGTTATGTAGAGCTTGAGAAAATGCAGGTGTTCCAAGTAAATAAGCACAATGCTTAGATCTGGAAAACCTGTCCCTGTATTTTCAGACCCAGAGCTGAAAGGCCACAATCCTGGATAGCACCACCTCCCCATTAGTGGTAAACATAAAATATGATTACGATCCTTCTAGAAACAACTGCAACCTCAGACAAAATGTGTAACTGTCACCATTCAGAACAAAGGTACGTACTGAAGTTATGTGGGCAGGTAAATTCTGGTAGGTGTTCTTGAAGCATAGAGAGGTGCATGCCCACAGAGAGAAGACAAAGGCCAGAGAAACAAGCACAAAACTACAATCAAACAGACAGCAAGGAAGAGCTAACAAAGAGGGGATTGGACACTGGAAGGAGTCTTTGAGTTGTTGCTTTACAATGTTTGGTCACTGCTTTTTCTGTCCCATTCTCTCTATGTCCTGTAACTGTTTTTCTCCTAGTAATGGTACCTTCAGCTCAGGTCCACAAAATCAAAGGCTACCCCTGAATACAATAAATATATGAATAACTATTTTTCCTCTAGGATACACTGATTCATATTTAGGCTAGACTAAATTGTTAGTCTAGACATTAGACTTACACTTTTTAGTGTACTAGGCATTAACATAGTACATATATTCAGAATTTCAGACTCTTCCACAGGATTTGGCTAAGATCCTTCCTCCATATAATACGAAGTATCAGCAGTTTCAGGGCTCACTTTCCTTTTCAGGTTTTTCACAAAAGTCCTAATCCAAAGATGCACAGATCTTTGAAGTTTCACAGGAAAAGCTAATTTTTATTTTGGCTGCAACGTGTTATACTGGTAGGTTAGAAATCTGAGGTGTATTATTCAAGGTACTCCTTTTCCCCAGCTCTGAAAAAGTGTTTCCCAGAGACAATAAAACCAGGTAACCCAATAATTCCATACCTATCCAAGTGAAAGGCTGCCACTTCCGCGTTGTGTCTGTCATAGCCAGCGTATGGTTCTCCTTCCACTACATAATCCCTGGCATATCTGTAATTGAAATAAAACAAACAAAGTGATTCATATGGGATTTCCATCTATTTTGCTGTTTGGAGTAACAAGTACAACAACAGTGCTATGTTAAACAGACTCTAGGTCACTTTCTAAATGATTGCCAATGGGAGAGGGAAGAAATATTAGTGAGATTAAACAGCATACAGACTGTTGAAGTAGTAAATAAGGAGGAAAGGTCAGTAATGTACAGTGGTCTCAAGAGCTTGGGAAGCGGTGCCCACTGAAACTAATGAGTTTTAATTCAACCATATGTCAAGTCACATCTAAGAACAAAGAGCACAGACCTAGCTACAGAACAGGGAACTATTTAAACTGGAAAGTAGCAACTCCACAAATGATTCCGGGGTTAGAATGGATTGTAGATTAACATGAAAATACAATCTGATATCGTGGAAGAAATGCCAAATGCAATCTTTAGTAGCCAGAAGATCAGCAAGTGTGAACCTGAGGACAATACTGGATATAGAAAGACCCTTTATTCTGGTGGAAAAAAGACATAATGAACAACAAGAAATAGAAATTAGACACTCACTACAATAATAGTATGTTTTGGTGAAGTGGTGGGCTTTTTGCCTTTTTTTTTCCTTTTTAATAGATGTTACTTAAATAGTCAAGGCAAACACAAATTTTTGAGATTCCTGACATGTGAATCAGGTCTAGATACAGCTTAAGAAGCATGCTTCAGATGAGCACAAAATACCACAATCAATACTGAGAAAATGGGTGAAATGCAACACATATCCAAATAAAGTAAGGCCAAATTAGATTGCCTATTTTCTCATTTCCATCTATGTATCAAATTGTGTAAAGTGGATTATTTCCAACAGACTTCAGGTTCAAGCAGCAGCAGCAACAGTGTAAGAGAAATCACAGTGCTCTACTTTGACGTTTTAATCCTGCTCAGAGAAGATCTGGGGCAAGACGACAGTCCATTTCATCAATTTGAGCAAATACTTTAGCTTCCCTGCAAGGCAGCTCAAAAGAGAATCAACCAGTGCAGGATGGTATGCAGTTTTTGGGAGGAGGATCTGACAGATTCCTGCCAAATTGGAACTTAGACCAAACAAGCATCTTATTTCACATATACCACTAGCATGTGATGGTAGCAACTATTAATCATTACTAACTTAGGCTGGATTTCAAGTAATTTTGAAATGATACAGCTAACCCTCAGAACCTGTCCTTGAAGTCAGGTCTTTTGTATGTACTTACAGCAGGCTTTTGAAAACATGGTCACATTTTGAAAGCTACAGAGCTAAACTTACTGGTAAAACACAACCAAATTCTTGCACAGTAGGCATCTAGTCCTTTCTAGAGCAAAAGTAACAAGAGACTTCACTCTTCCCCAACCTGTAAGTTTTCTCATAATGATTTTTAGTAGTGACATACCTTTCAGGTCAAAAGCTAGTTAAATAGACTATCTTGCAATGACAGAACAATACCTACAAGCCTAGCTACTCAGCAGTCACAAACAGAACACAGGTATACCAGTACAGTTAGGGCCATACTGTCGAGAGCTCCTATAAACTGTCTAGTGCTCCTATAAACATTCCCAGCTGCACATGTCCTTGATGGAGCATAGTCACTGCATTCACCTGTACAGACATTCCATTACAGAAATGTAATTTAATGCTTGGTGAAACGCTTTACAGCACTCACTCACACAGAAAGCACTATAGAAGTGGCATGTCTTGTTACTGCATTTATTGGGTGAGCTGTCTTGTACCAAGACTTCTGCCACTGTTTAGACACAGCCTAACCCCACAGTGAAGCTCCAGACAGACCAGTAACTGACCATACAGAAACAGGACTGTGAAATAAAGAAGTAGAGGGCAGACTGCTTTTCTCATTCCCTAATCATTCATCAACATGACAGAAAAACTTTATGCTTGCTCAACCCAATATCCTTTGGGGAGAGATGTATGCATTCAGCGATGACAACACTTTACATTTGCAGTGCACTCTCATAAAACACACCTGCCTTGCTTTTTTACATCTATCTTTCTTCTCTTTCCCTGAAGGAAAACCATTCAGAAAGCATTACAGACTGCACAACACTCTTCATAAATGTTCAATCATGTCAAATTTTCCTGTAGATCACTGAGTACAGAGGCCATACTGAGGAAGTATCACTACCTGTCCACTCTCACATCTCTCCTCCAGCATTCACTATCGGCAGACAGGAAACTCAGAGGCTTTCACTTGACCTACCAAGACATTTTTACAGTCCTCATGCAGCTTCATCAGACACCCAGATTTTCTTTTAAGACAACTGACAACTTTCACTCTTTCCCTGTTCTTGAACTGCATTCTCTCATGGCAGTTTGACATGACCCTTACTCAGACAGAGTAGGCAAGACCTGTCTCCACATTGCCAGAACCTGCACTTCCACAATTGGGAAAACACTGCTTAGAAACATCAGATCCAACCAGCATTCCCTCAGGACTGAACACAGTGATTGTTCTTTCAACCTCAAGACAGGCTGCTTTGAGCATCAAAGTTATAGAGCCTGAGAGACAGCTGGCACAGCAACCTGATGTTACTAGAGCACCGGCAAGGCTCTATACTGCCTGTCACACAAATAACAGAGCAGCCTTTCCATTTCTGTGTAAATTTGTAACTTAAACATTAATGCAACAGCATGGAGATCAAAAAAAAAAAAATCCAGAAATTAGCTATTAATTCAATCATTGAAGGCAATATTTACCTCTTGGGTTTGAAGACAACCTTCTGTCCTCCTTCAAGTATTAGCAAAGCTTTCAGCTGGGTGCCTTTGTATCCCACATCAGCTTTTATTATTTTTTTTGTTGTCATGGCATGCATAACAGCCCCTAGCTCGGGCGTCTCCTCAGGATACACCTCGCGGGGCACCACCCATTGGGCTGCAATCTCCCAAGGGGACTGCAAGGTATGGTCAAGCCGGGGGTCCAGTTCTACATGGAGGCTTGCCATCATACGGTGAAAGGCGCGCTGGTCCTCCCGGTTGGCAGCTGAGGTGTCCAAATTGTCAATGAGGAACACTTTTGTGAAAATGAAGATGACAAGGAGGATGGCCAACAGCACAACTCGCTGCTTCAGCTTCATGGTGACCTTGAACCCTTCTCCCCTGACCCTTTCTTCCCAGTGTTACAGGAAGTCTATCAGAGATCAGGGTGAGGAAGGGGATGTTAGTTAGTGAATTTCATTCATAACTTGCATTGTGAAAGAGGTATCACCACTGAAGCATCTTCTGGTACCCCTAAAAATAAACAAAACACAAAATTATAAAACTGTATTCCTGCAGATCCCACTGAACTCAAAATCAAGTTTATGCTTGGAACATAAAATCTGCATTTACATACACTTGTGCCCAAAAGCCCAAACATTTGTTTTAAAACACATGTGTTTTGCTGTCTTCCCGTAGCCTTTCAGTGATCTGCACAAAAGGGGAAATGCCCAGAGAGCATCACTCACTACACAGCGGAAATCATAACAGCAACTGCCATGGCCAAGGCTTTTGCAGAGAACTGTAGTTTAAGTTCATGGCTCCAATTTCACCAACACTTTTCTATTAGTAACCAGAATCCATGACCTCTGGTTTTCTAAAGATCTGTCCCTTGAGAGAGCTCCCAGGTAGATTTCCTGACATCTGACAACCAGTAAGAACAGCCGCGTAGCCTAGTTTCCTGAAGATACAAGACATATGGACAGAATAGACTTGAGTTGTTTACTGCCTCTCATTTGTTGCCACTATAATTTACCCATATTTTTTTTCATTCTTAAGGGGGGAAAAAAAAAAAAAAATGAAGGGGGGGAATGACATCTTTACTTCCTTGTGGTTAACTATGTATCTTCTGCAGTCAACTGTAAAACCAATAACCACAAAAAATATAAAAAGTATCTGTAATCTCAACATCAAATTAACAAGAAAAAAAAACCAACCCTGAAATTGTGCCTCTTCTCATAAACCTCACCTACACCACAGTTAAAGCCACATCTGTGTTTCTATATTTACAATGGGCTGCAAGAAGTCTCGCCCCTCAACAAGCCTTTGACAGTAAAGTGTTGGTGTATAAAGACCATGTAACATAGTTAATCAACTGTATTTCAATTATGAGGACAGAAATTATCTTCATAATATTAGCTTAATGTGGTCAAAACCCAAATGGAAATGGATACTAGGGCACATCTCTGAGAAATGCTCAGAACCATCAGAGATTTCTCTTTGCACAAGCTATGCTAATCATGAAAACCACAAATGGCACCCTGAGCTGTGGTAGGACTAATATAGAAAAGCCTTCTCATGCGATTTAACAATAAGTGTATAAAGCAGTCATTATTAATCATGTCACGGGAAAACAAGCTGCACAGGCCAAGTTAATTTACCAGCAGCAACCAAAGGACAACCAGACTATGACTTGCTGGCCAAACAACAGATCACAGACCTCTTCAGTGTCTGTGTGGACACAGTGCCCTGCCTGGAAAGGTTACAGCGGGGACAATGGTTCTGAGGGGCCTGAGTGTATCGTTGAGGTACATCTCCATCAAAGATTAAGGCTGTGGCAAACAGCAGATGACAGTGAGGCACATCCTTTGAGCAAGCCATCAATGCAGAAGCAGATCTGGCACAGTATGAGAGTACTAGCATAAAAGCACATGCAAGCTCAAAAATGACTCCACAGCACCTTAAATAAATTAGGACTACAGCTGACCCCTTCCCTAATTCCCAGCTACGTGGCTCTCCTACCTTCCCACATGTCAGTGTTGGCATTCATACAACCCAGCCACAAGGTAGTTCAATGATCCAGGTTGTTGACCCACCCAAACATTAACCACCTTCTTTGGTTTATGTGTGAATCACCTACTACTGTTAGTTTTTGAGCCAAGTGCACAGTTCATCATCTGTCTACAAAACGCCGCTACCAGTACGAGTCAGAGAGACCAGGGAGGGCAGCAGCACAGCAGCTCCAACAATGCGAGATGACCCATCAAGTATATGCAATGCCTACCTATCTGCAGAGGGGCACCTTAAGTTACTCAAGCCAGCACTGTCACCCAAAAAATGGCCCTGTACTCCACATACTTCCGACCTTCATGCAATGAACTCCATGAAAGACCTGATCAGAGTTAAAGCTTGAATGTTTTTATTTATTGATTTCTGGCTTCAACCCTCCTTCTCCAAAATCTGGTTTCCAAAATATTTTCACAAGCATCTGGGGAGGGCTCATCACAAGGGCAAGAACAAGCGTTTCTCCTGGCAGCAGCACTAGTGATTATTATATGTGCAGGTAACACCACTGCGCAGCCCAGTCCAACAAAGAGTAATCAGCTGAAACACTTGGAAACAGTCACAAAGAGCACACCAAGAGGGACAGGGAAATTTGGTAACAAACTGTCAGACCTTCCTGTTTTCAAAATCACTCTTTCCAGCACAGCGACTAACCTGAGCACCACTCAACTTACAGGTAAAACACTGATGATGCAGAAGCATGGCTTTTAGCCCAGTTTACCATCTGATTTTTTTTTTTTCCCCATCGTTGTTCCCCCCCAGGTGACAGCTCGGTTCAGTCTGGCCCTTCCCAAGGTACACATTTTGCCTCTTAAATACCTCCTATAAAACCTGTCTGCTGAATCGGGAAAGAAAGTGAAAGTGTCCTAATGACAATGAGTTAAAACTGAACTGTGAACAAGCAGTTTAATGTTAATAGCAACCACTTCCAGCAACATAAAAACCCCATGAAATGTAGAGGGTAGGGTGAAAGAAGGCTACCAAGTCTCAGGGATGCTTCAAACTAGTACTGTGGTCCCCTGTTAACTATGTAATATTCAGTAAAAATGTTTCCATATCACTGCACTAAGAAGGTTTGGAGGTAGCTGACACCTGTGGGTATATAAATTAAATTGAAGATTATTGATGCATTTGAAAAAAAAAACCCACATTACTTTTTTCCCTTCAAACCAGCTTTCCAAAATAGTTCAGTGATGCAAAACCAACACTGTTACATTGCCTATAGCCCCAGATTTATGACAGTGTGACCGTAACTTTACAAACAAAGTAAAAGTTATTTGTCTTCAGAGTGATTCACATATTTTGTTCACAATATCTTATCTGTATAGCAGGTATGTGAAAACCTGTCTCTCCACCTAAGGGGTAGTGAGAGACAAATGAGTTTTGGGTACAGTGAACTTGTCCCTGAACTCAAGTGGTCAGCTACCCATAAAAAAATATTATGGTCGTCTCTGGAGACAGCAAACCCTGATCAATGAGGCCCTGATCATACAAGGGATGGTTGAGGGGTCTGAAGTATTCTGTGCTGTTTGGAAAGTTGCTACAGAATAGGGCTTTAATTTCCTTCTGAGGTAAGGAAGTGGTGCTGTACCTGTTTCTTGGTGAAAATAGCAGAAATTTGTGCCCCAAGAAGTGGCCTGATATCAAGTTACAGTGAGAAAGGATGAGTTACCATTTCTGCATGTAATACGATAAGCACTTTAGATGCTTCTGAACAGCAGAAACAGGTAAAATGCTGCTCTCAGCTGTCACTGTATGTGTGAAGGCAGCTCAAGAGAAGAGGGTGAGGTGTGGAAGGCAGCCCGAGTGAGAGCCAGTCATATTCTGAAAAACTATTCAAGAGGGAACAGCTTTAAACTGCAACAGGGGAGGTTTAGACTGGACATTAGGAAAAAAATTTTCACAGAAAGAGTGGTCAGAGTGGAAGAGGCTGCCCAGGGAGGGGGTGGAGTCACCGTCCCTGGATGTGTTTAAGGGTGGTTTAGATGAGAAGTTGGGGGATATAGTGTAGGGGAGAACTTTGTAGAACAGGGCTGATGGTTGGACTTGATGATCCCAAGGGTCTTTTACACCTCAAATGATTTTATGATTGATTTCAATCTACTGGAAAATAAGTGCTTGTGCTAACAGCGAAAGACAAGAAATCAGTTTATACAGAAATGAAAACATATTATTGTTCACCTTAGTTCTGTTTGGGCAGGCTGTATTTGTCCCAACAGTATGTTAATCTGAATATTACAATGCAAGCGCAAGACTGAGTAGCACAGACAAGGAATATGCACCTGACCTGAAAGCCCTCATTCTTGTAAATACAGACTCACCCAGAAGGAGAGCTCTAAATAATAATATTCTTCAATCTAAGAAAGCAACTAGAGCAAATGGGGCTGTAACTGTACCTTCTCATTGTAACTTCATGATTTCACTTCCTTAAAACTAGTAATTCTAATTCATTTTGAACATTGCTGTTACCAAGATCTGCTTTCATTACTTTTTAAGATCCACTAGAGTTTATAAGAAGTTACACAGAAGAACACAGTTCATTTCAGAACCATTACTCCTTATTATGAGATATGTATACATGTACACATACATTTTAAGAAAGCCTCATAGCCCAGTGTCTGCCAACCAAAGCATGGGACAGGAATGTTTCACACCTTTGGAGCTCAAGCCGGGCACTGATTTTCAGGAATGCTGAGTTTCTCTAGGGGTACTCTCCTTGGGGGTATGGGAGGGAGAATATAACTAGAGCCACCACTAAAATTAAAGGTTATTTACTTAGTTTATCTTTTGTGACAGCTTTGAAACTAATTTTGGCTGAAAATTGCCAACAATGCAGACAGAATTTACAAAAAAAATTTTAAATATTTGCTATAAGACATTTCAGTAATTCCCTTCAGCAAACAACCAATCCTCACCAAACATTTCTCCTCAAGTTATACAATTACTCCCTGATTTTGCCTAGCTTTAAGCAGGTGAGTTGACTCTGACTTTTTACTGATATCTGACGAAATGAATCATCAGCTGCTTTTCTCCAACAAACAACAAAACACCCCGAAGGTTGCTATGCAATCGATTTCACAGGCTAGCTGCAGAGCCTGCACATTGCTCCTCAGGTGCCAACATTATGCTCTTTGCTGTGTGAGCCAACAAAAATTAATCCCTTCATGAAGAAGTTTACCGTGGAGAGCGAGGACTTAAACTTTGTTTTAAATTGAAGATGGCAAGAGAGACGGCGTTGAGGTGTGTAAGAAAATATTTACAGTTTTGGAAGAAAGTAATTTGAAGAAGAAAAGGACAAGTCTTCGGATAAGGCTCGAATTGAAAAAGAAGATTATGAAAGCTCAGGAAGTGTGAAGCTGGTCCTGGAACAAGGACAGAGATGGGAAAGGTGGCCACAGAAATGAAATAATAACAACCCCCCAATGTTTTAAAAAGGTAAAAACAGGATGAGTTCTGAGCAAAACTCTGTG